CACATGCGTGCAGTGCCCTCGGAGGCCCTAAGGTGGCAGTAGATCTCCAGAAGCTAAAGTTACTTGCTAGCCTCCTGGCCTGCGTGCTGGGAATTGAATTCCGGTAAAGCAGGACAGGGTCTCTCCAGCTCTGCAATGCTTTTATGAATATGTTTGACCTGCCATGGGCGGAACCCATGGAAACAGAGGCTATAGTTAGGGAGGGCTGACAATCCGACCTACCCACCCATGAATACATCTTACTTTATGATGCGTTTCCAGGGCTGGCATCAGGGCTTCGGGCTGTGAAGTGCTCAGGTTAGAGCTTCTTAATTATTTGCACTAGTTTTGCCTTTTGAGTTAATAAATTTATGGTGAATGAAAACTACAAATCAAAGCAGGCTTGGTTACAAACACCTATAAACCCAGCACTTGGGAAGCAGAGGGAGAGGGAGCAGAAGTTAGAGGTCATTCTTGGCTACACAGGAAACTCTGGGTGAGCCTGGGATACATGAGATCCTGGGGTGGGGGGTGGGGAACTAAAGATACCCCTTGATGAACTTCAGCAAATACACAGTAGGACCACACAAATACACACAGTAGGACCACACAAATCCCCTTCCATCCATGGAGACTTCCCACCACTGCAGAATTTCCCATCAGTCTGAGGGTGAGTTTTGTTTTGTTTGATCTTTTCGTTTTTTACTTATTTGGGTTTTTTTGTTGTTGTTATGTTTTGTTGTTGTTGTTTTTAGGTTGGGTCTCATACAGCCCAGGCTGGCCTCTTGCTCACTTTGTAGCCTAGGATAGCCTTTAGTTCCCAATCTTCTTGCCTCCATCTCCTGAGGTGCGCTGCCACGCCTGTTTTATTGAGGTGGTTTTATTTCTGTTTTGAGACTGGGTCTCACCCTGGCTTTCTCTCTATATTCCTTCTCTCTTTTTTTGCTACCTTTTAAAATCCCACTACATTTGTTTGTTTGTTTATTGTGTGTGTGTGTACCAATGACAAAGCATGGGGTGGAGGTCAGAAGTCAACTTCCAGGAGTCAGTTGTCAGCTTCCACCACATGGGTCCCGAGACTTGAATTTGGGTCACCGGGCTTAGCAGCAGGCGTCTTCAGCCACCGAAGGGTCTCACTGGCCCCCTTCCTTTCTCACTGGATAGACTAACCCAGGCTGCCTCAGCCTCCCAAATTGCAAGAATTCAGGCATGTGTATTCTGGGAGCCACTTTTCTGATTTCCCACAAACTACACACACACACACACACACAGACAGACACACAGACACACAGACACAGACACACACACACACACACACACA